GCTCTTTGTTAATTCCTAAGTTTTCTTTCTTGTAGAATTTAAGCTTTCTGTAATTCAACTAGTGCAAAAAATTAGAGAGATTTGAAACTTTATAGTCCCAAAAACTATCTTCTATACCTCTATTATTATCTTCTTTTTCTACTATTGCTATTAAACTTTCTAAAATTTCTCTCACTTTCTTTTTACCTTTGTTTTTTGTTTCGTATTTACTACTTTTGTTTGAATAATAGCTCTTTTTTATGCTTCATTCAGCTTCTCTTATTCTTCTTTTGCTACTTGTTTCTGATGTTACTGACTCTATATTATATTCATTTGTTTCTGATATTGAGAGTTCATATAACCTCCATTTGTCTTTTATCTTTTCCTCTAATAAAGACTTATTATACTTTTCTAATTTATCTTAGTATTCTTCTCTTTCGATCTGAGCATATTTAGAGTATTCTTATTGAGAGTCATAATCAATTTCTCTTAACTTTCCTAAGCTTTTAATACTTTTGTCTAGTGAGTTTTTTTCATTCTTCTCAAAACTCTGATACTTCATCTTTGTATATACTTATTCTTATACTCTATTTAAGCTTACTATTATTATAAACAATTATAAACTTTGAACAATTAATATATCCTTTTCATTTGCAAAAAAGACTATTGTACTTCTCATATTATTAATATTATTATTCTTAAAAATATATAAAGCTTTGGTTTCTGTGCATTTAACTTGTCTTCAAAGAAGAACTTCACTCGTACCTTCTGATAAGTTAGTTATTTTTCTTGTAAATTCATTATGTTCTTTGAGTTTCTGTAGATTTTGAGTTTCTACTATGATTCTTACTAAATATTTGCCTATGAAAGGTATGTACTAAGAATTATTAAGCTCTTTTATATTTGCTAAGTTTAGTATAAAACTGATTTTAGCTCTTGTTCTGTTTGATAATTCTCTTATCATTTTGATATGAATAACTCTTTCTAAGTAGTATACTGATTCAAAAATTTGAGTTCTTCTAGCCTAGCTTAGAAGGTTCCATACTGTGAGTTGGTTATTGTTACTCAATAAATCATCAATTTTGTTAGTTTTTCCTCCTTGTCTGTTTTGAGTTCTGTTTTTTAAAATACTTTTAGTATTATCTGCAAGATTTCTTTTTCCTTTGCTCAAAAACTTCTTGTAGCTCTTTTTGTATACATCTTTCTATTTTATTTTTGTTATCATTTTTCTTGGATTTGGTTGCTATTTTATTTTGAGTAGCTTCTTTGCCAGTTGGTTTCTTAGTTGTTTCTCATATTAGTTTGAGTTTTTCGTATTCTTTTTTAGAATTTTCTAATCTGATTTGAGCTTCTTCAAATTCTTTCTCATAATTAAAGATGATTATATACTATTAATTTCCTTTAGTAAACTTTTTTGAGATATCTTTTATATGTATATTATCTCTAAGAAGCTATCTTAATAATTTGATTCTATGTTCAATACTATCTTCTGAAATATTTATTACTGCTACTTTTGCAATTATATCTCTTTTGTTTTTGTAGCTATCTTTCTTTGGTACCTATATACTTTCTTCTAGTATACTATTTCTATATTCTTCTATATTTGTCTCATCTATAAATTGAAGCTTTTTACTTGTTTTGTTGTTATTATCTGCTATTACATCTATATTTGTAATCACTCTTATATCTTCCATCTTTTTGGTTAATATTTCTTTAAATTTGTCTACTACTATCTTTTTAGTATCTCTAACTATTAATACTAGTATACTGGATATATTATAACTACTGATCAGCTCATGTAATTCTGTTTCTACTTTTATAACAACTTTTTTGAGATCAGTCTTTTCACTAATAAGCTCTTCTTCTATTAATTTTTTATGTTCTAACATATTGATAACTTTGTCTATTCTCTCTGTTATTGTAGCTCTTTTAATTACTGCTTACTAGTATCTTGTAACTTTAATAATTTCTAAATCAATTCCTATTAGCCTTGCTACTATTTGGTCTAGATGTTCTTCTAAACCTAGAATTGAGTTGCTACCTTCTATTACTATTTTAATTCTATATTTCTGTATGATTTTATATATTAACTTTGTTGTCTTTTCTTTATTCTATATTAGTTAATTGCTTTTTTTGCTTTACCTAGTAAAAAATTCAAAAATTCTATATACTATTATTAAAAATCTCTAGAAGTTGTCTGGTTTTGAGTTGGTGTCTATTCTTTAAGTTGTTGCTATTACATGTTAAATTTTGCTATATGATTGTTGTTTACACTTCTTGTTTATTTATTTTTATATATTTTACTATTTTAGTATCTTGATATCCTGTTTAGTATTATCTGTACTATCTAGTTTTTGGTGTAATGATTAACAAAAATTTTCAGAGTTTTGTTGTTTTCCAAAAAAATAATTTTATTGATGAAAAATCTTTGCAAGATTTAGTTTTCTAGCCTTTTTCTTTAGTTTGAGTTTCTGAAATCTTTGTTTTCTTCTATTACTATATAAAATTTCTTTATTTGCTTAATTTTATTTAGTAGAGATACTTAGGTTTTTTTATGAGAATTTTGACTTTTCTATGTGTTGATCTTCTGCACTAAAATTAGCCTGAAAGATCTGCAAAAAGAGTTGATTTGATTTTTAACAAAAATTTGTTTTATAATATTAAAATAAATATTATCAAAATATAAATATAAAGACTTTTATAGTAAAAAGAAATAGTAAGCTATTTTAAATTTTGATATTTAAATAAGTATATCTAGTAAGTTAGTAATTAGAATTAAATAATTTTTATATTAGAATTTAATTATTTTGTACAGATATATTGTAATATATTCATCTAATTATATAATATAAAAATTAAAACAAACTTTTTTTATATTAGTTTAGAGTTAAAATTAGAGCTAATTAGGTTAAGAAAAAGTAATAACAAAATGTTTCTAACTCAAAATTTTGTAAAAAATTTTTTTTACTAGAATATAAAAAAAAGTTTCATAAATAAAAAATTGTTAAAAGTAATTTCTTTAAAAAATCATAATTATTTTAATTTTCACATTACACTTGATCTTAAATTTTGATTAATTAATTAAATGAATATATTACAACACACCTGCATTAAATTACAATACTCTTTTATTATTCATCATATTGAAATAAATTGAATAATATAAAAATTATTTAATTCTAATTATTAAATCACATGATATACTCATTAAAGATCAAAATTTAAAATAGCCTACTGCTTCTTTTTGCTATAAAAGTTTTTATATATAAATTTTTATTTAATAATTTTAACTTCTAGATCATTACTATATTTGAATTATTTAGCAAGCAAATTAAGAGATAATTCAAATAATTCAATCAAATGTTTTTATCAAAGTTATCCAAATTCAATAATTAGAATCTAAGAAATTTGATTTTAAAAATTTCAATATATGGAATCTTTTCCAGGAAAATCACCCTTCGGGATTTTCCGAACGGACCAATTCGGAAAGACTTAGACCAGAACACCAGTTCTTATTTATATGCAAATCATCTTTTATCTTGCCGATATAATAGTTAATTAAATAAACTATTGCATCGATGACGACTTATATATAAATAAGAACTGGTATTCTGGTCTAAGTCTTTCCGAATTGGCCCGTTCGGAAATTCCGAAGGGTGATTTTCCTAGCAAAGATCCCATATATATTTATAATAGCTAACTAATCACTCCAGTAACTCAAATTATATACCGATATTATAATTGACACACCCTATATAGCATACGTAGTCGATATTTTCTTTAGATATCCAGTGTGGCTGATGATCAAGTAATAACATATTTAGTATACGTAGAACATATGGGCTTGGTGCTAAGAAAAGGGACCATTTTTTATATAAGGTATAAAAGCTGTTAAATTAATAAAATTTTACAAGATAGTTCTTTAAAAATTGATCTTTACTATGATTTATTATAGAATTTTTAGATTAAAAATTGACTTTTCGCAAAATTTTTTTTTGTTATTTCGTCCCTTTTCTCAGCACTCATCACATATAGTCATATTAAATGCTAATAAAAACTATTAAAAGATCATAAAGTCATATCAATATTTATTATGACAAAATGATTATGACAGGTCATATAAAGGTCATAGATCATTTAAGGTCATCGATCATTTAAGGTCATCGCCAACACTGTTAAATAGAGCTTTTATTTAACTTTTAATATCGATATCCGCCAAAACTGAATTAATTGCAACCGTTGTAATATTAAAATCAGTTACACGGTACCACATGAAACTCCAATATTGAACGAAGACAACCCGTGACTATTAATATTAATATTGAGGTTACATTTTAATGTACAAAATACTTGCAGTATTCAAGTCTTCAAAGAAAAAGTTGATATTTAAGACGTTTTCTCATAAATTTTTAATATTCATGTCAGAGTCTTATGAGCCATAATCAATACAATATTTAATCAACGACCTATTAATAGTAATATAGTAATGTATTAACGTTAGGATCGTTAGGGTGTAGTAATAACTGATGGTAAATAATGTGTTACATTTGCCATATGATACATATGATAATATGATAGCGGAGTGTAGCTTATCAGCTTACCTTGATAAATTCGATTAGAGTGCGTGACTTACAATTAATTGAAGGTTTCGTGAAACCTCACTCAGTGACCTTGGTCTTATTCTAAAAATCGTCTTAATCTGCACTTTTGGTGGTTGCAAAGCAGATGTAAGTTTATCAGTATTATACAGTTATAAGCATAGGAAGGACAAAATATTAAATACCAGCCATATCATATTAACCTTCAAAGTCCTATATATCTTCACGGACTTATATAGCCTCAGCACTATTACCTATTGTGTCGTTTATCTCTATTTCCGTCACTTCCTTATCCTTTAATCTCCCTTCAACCTTTCTTTTTTTTTCTTTTTTTTTTTTTTTTTGTTCCCTATATATAGGTCTTTTGTCTTTTGGTTCTCGTTAAATCTTGGTCCTTTATTTGTTTTATAGTATTTAATAATCATGCAAACAATAAAATGTGTTGTTGTCGGTGATGGTGCTGTTGGCAAGGTAAGCAAAAAACATATTTTCGTTTTTTCTCAGTCAGAACCTAATTCCAAAACGGGTAGTGTCGTTCTTTTCGAGAATAGCGCTTACGATTTATTACCTCCGTCGATCGAAATTGTAAAGTTTTCGGTTAATAAATCTGGAAACTCTTCATTTAATCAATACATTCGTGCATAGTAACGTATAATGTATTATATAGATTGTATGGAATTACAATTATATAAAGAAAATTAAACGGTCATTAGAGAAGAGAAAATAATTGAGTGAAATTATTTGAAACATCGTAATATTTTTATAATTCATCACTATACTGATGGTTCATTTTTTTATTTTATTATACATATATTTGTTTGGGACGGTTATCTAATGTAGACGTGTCTTCTAATCTCTTACACAACCAATAAATTTCCGTCTGAATACGTTCCTACAGTAAGCATTATTCAATGATCGAATTAGTAATATCTTGCAAGCGCTCATTATTTTATTTCTTTTCATTTAGGTTTTCGACAATTATGCCGTTACAGTTATGATTGGCGATGAACCGTATACATTGGGTTTGTTTGACACTGCTGGTATGTATCCTTAGGGAAATTATTTTAATTTAGTTCTTGAAAGTTAATTATTGAAATGTTTTAATTCTTTCATATCATACATTTTCTTTCGTTGGTAAATGTATTATTATTTTATGATTGCTTTTATTTACATTGCTGCTGGTGAAAACGGATAATAGGCCAAGAGGATTACGATCGTCTCCGTCCTCTTTCGTATCCTCAAACAGACGTCTTTTTGGTCTGTTTTTCTGTAACCTCACCAGCTTCTTTCGAAAATGTCAAAGAAAAATGGTTCCCTGAGGTTCATCACCATTGCCCAGGAATTCCATGCCTGATTGTCGGTACTCAAATAGATTTGCGGGATGATCCATCAGTAGTTGAAAAGCTATCACGACAAAAGATGAGACCCGTCACTTCAGAGCAAGGCGAAAGACTCGCTCGAGAATTGGGTGCTGTTAAATATGTAGAGTGTTCAGCTTTGACTCAAAAAGGTTTGAAGAATGTTTTTGACGAGGCTATTGTTGCAGCCTTGGAACCACCAGTTACTAAGAAAACTCGTAAATGTATTGTGCTGTAGATTTCCTTTTTTTTTTTTTTTTTTTTATAACTAATTATATATATTTTGTTTTGAAATATATACTTTTATTTTATAATCAGTCTTCCTTGTTATTTATAATCCACGATGTTTTCAATGCTTACATCTCATACATATAGTATTTGCTATTATATTTACACCCGTTCTATATATATTTTTTTGTCGTAAGTTAGATGAATTCGTTCGCTTATTGGTAGTTATAGAGAACATGTGTTCTTGCCCATCATTAATATTAACGTTTTGGATGAATTAAGTTTTACGGCTTCATATTTCAAATACCTTTTTGGTGGTGGTCTTCGTTACAGTTACGGTATCCCCTTTCTTAAATCTTTATTAGTTTATCTATTAACTATTAAAATTGTATTTTTTTTTTTAAAAAAAAAAAATGTTACTATTTATTATTTGCATGTATATCATAAAAAAAAAAAAAAAAAACTAATATTTTAAAATTACATGTTTATCAAGTGATGGCCATATCGATATCACTATCTTTCATATTAGTGGTTACCTAACTTTTGTGCAAGTTAATTTCCATTACTTCAAACTGTAAACAAATTAGTTAATTAGAGTACAAAGTTGAAACTGTTACCGTGTAGTACATAGGTATTGTCAAATTGTAGCTTGGTAAGGACTGCACATAGATTATTATTACAGCATACGTGTTAAACCAAGGATTCAATTAATTCTAACAATGCCAAGCCGGACATTTGGCTTAAATAATTCACAAATTTGGTACACAGTATGTACAGTACATAAAATGTAAATGAAAAATTCATTTTACTATAATACAATTTAACGTAAGAAAAAAAATTACACAATAAAATTCTCTCTAAATACAAGTTTTTTTTTTTGCCTCCAAGTATAACTTATAATTATATTCAGTGTTGTCACTTGGTTTTTTGGCCGGGCCAATGGCCGCAGCCAACGGCCAAAATTTTTTTAAAAAAACATAAAACAGCCAAATATTTGTATAGCAAAGCTAGTAATATGATTGGCTAATATCATGTAGATTAAGAAACTTTTGGCTATTGGCCGCTAGTTTGTTAGCCAAAAAAAAATTGATTGGCCACAAAAATTGCCAACACGAATTTTATTCTCTAAGCACAAATTTTTATTAAAATTTTCAAGTTTCAAGTTTTGGCGACTATAGCTTTAATAAATATTTTGATCTTTATTAATAAAACAAATTAACTATTTTAAGATCTAATCTTTATTATATTTATATTCTCAGTATATTACTACGTATGCTTTTTTGATAATTTATAATAGAATTCTACTGTATCTCTTAAACAGTTTTTAGACAATTTTTAAAATTCTAAAAATATTTATAATTTGTTAAATAAAACAAAAAATTAATAATAAAGTTTTACAAACTTTACAAATAAATCTATTCATTAACATATTCAAACTAATATCTACTCTTACTTAAAAACAATTAGACTATATTTAAAACACAAACACAAGTTAACATTAGAAAAATTACTTCTATTAATTCAAATAATTTTATTTTTCAATATTACACCTTTATTCCTAATACTATTGGATATATAACCTCTTATCTTTCAATCAAACTACTCAAATTTCTTTTTCTTCTACAATTAATTTTACTTGTAAAAGCTAAAAAGAAAAACAACATTACAAAATATCTATTGACTACAAAGAAATCTTAGCATTCTCTTAACTACATCTATTACTATATTACTTGATTTCTATAATTACTCTTCAAATCTATATTGAAAATTCAATATGTAAATAAATTTTTAATTCAATTCAAATATTATCATACCAACTTGAACTAATTAATTTATATCACAAAATACTCAAAATAAACTTATTAAATAATTTATATTTCTATACAGATACTTTTATACAAAATTTTCTTTTTCTATATAAAAAGTCAGTATTGGTTAGATTCTAAAAAATAATATAAGTATTAAGTTTAATGCAAATTTAACTAATACACATAATACTACATATACTGAACTTGAACCTATTATCTATATACTTCTTATTCTTCCAAATAATCTCAATATCTATATTCATATAAACAATCTCTCTGCTATACAATCTTTAAAAAAATTATTACTATCTAATATTCTAAATATCTAAATTAAAAATAAAAACTAGGATATCTTGTATATTATAAACTATTTTACTAAAAATAAAAATATTTCATTCTTATTTTACAAAATTAAATCCTACTCTAAAAATACTTTTTACTGAAATACTAATTTCTTAGCAAAAAGAGATACAAACTAACAATCTATTATACTAAATCTTAATTCTTTCAATTTTTTAATTTTTTTCTCTTGGCATAAACTTTTTATCTCTATATAAATAAAAAAATTCTGCAAAAATATTATTCTTACTAAAACTACTAACTATTTTTTACAACTCTAAAATATTAACAATATCTCTAAATTCAATATAAAACTATTTTTTAATAATATTAACTTTCAAAATCTTAATTCATATCTCTATTCTTTTTGTATAAAAATTTTTATTTAATAATTTACTTATAGTAACTAACTTAAACTTTCAATTACTATCTATATATCTTATTCCAAACTATATCTGTTACAACTTACTTAAAAATTTATAATATTTTCTTCAATACTCACAAACTCTAAACTACTTACAAATATTATTATAAACTATTTTCTAAACTCTATCACAACTAAATATCAACAATATATCTTCACAAAACCTCTACTAAATTATTCTTTTACAAAACAATAATTCTTCTCATGCTAACTACATACTACATCTAATTTAAGAGACTTTTTCTATAAATATTACTACTCAACTATATTCCTTTCTATACAAAAATACTATTTCTTTCAGTATTATACTTTCAAATCTTCTTCTCAAATAGTTTAATTAAAAAATCTGACAACTAAGAAACAAACACTAATATAATTAAGAAATTTTAAGAAATATTACTAACAAATTCAAATAAAAAAAATAACCTATACTCTAGATCTCATAAATACCTCAATATATTATTAAAACTCAACTACTATTATTAATAATAATATTGATACAAATATACAAAAATTGTTTATTTAAAATATTTTAATACTTTCTATATTTAACTAACTATAATTACTAAATTCAAGGTTTCTCTTTTTCCTCTTCTTTAACTAGTAGTAGCTTTGCTTTAACTTAACTTAAACTAGTTTATAAATAAAAAATTGAAGATAATATATTATACTTTATAGTACTATATAGAAATAATTAATAATAGTTTAAATCTAATATCATCTTAATATTT